TCAGGTTTTGCACATGCAGTCGATCACGTGATTTTCCCATCGAAGTTTTCTTCATATGCACGTGTTTGTATTGACCTCAAGAATTGAAAAAACTCTTTTAAACCACAGTTCTAACGGTACTTGAAATGCCACGACTGTCAAATGTGCAACGCGAACGTGCCGTTGGCATGTTGCAAGTGGAAGATCAGTTATTGACGTCGCAAGAGCAATGGGATGCAGCCGTCGTACTGTGTGTGACTTGCGAGGTCGTCTACAACAACCTGGCACCACTTCTGATCGCCCAAGGTCGGGTCGTCCACGTGTGGCGTCACGAGCAGAAGACCGTCAAATCGTCCTACGTCACCTACGTGACAGATTTCTGCCGGCTACACGAACCAGGGCTGAGATGTTTAGAGGTCGACTGTCCTCACAGAACATTCGAAATCGGTTGCGGGCTGCCAATCTCAATTCTCGACGTCCATATCGTGGGCCAATATTGACGCCGTTTCATCAATGTCAACATCTGCTGTGGGCCCAACGTCACCTCCAATGGACCCAGAGAGACTGGAATCGAGTCATCTTTAGCGATGAATCCAGGTTTACCCTCAGATTCGCGGACGGCAGGCATAGAATCTGGAGACGACGTCATGAACGGTATGCCCAATGTTGTGTACAGGAGTACGACAGATTCGGGTGCGGAAGTTGCATGGTGTGGGGTGCTTTCTGTGGGAACAACCGTTCCCGACTTCTGCTGCTTACCACGACCAGGTGCTCACCCCTGAATTCGTTCCTTTCATGGCGGCTCATGGCCCAGGTCTACAGTTCCAGCATGATAATGCTCGGCCGCATACCGCGATGTTGACATGAAATTTCCTTCAAAACGCTGGAATCAACATGTCATGGACTGGCCATCGAGGTCCCCTGACCTTAATCCAATAGAGCATGTTTGGGATGCACTTGGGAGAAGGCTTCGTGGTCTTAGGAACTAACCTCAGAATTTGCAGGAACTTGACGCTGCCTTGCAAGAGCAATGGCGCAGAATCCCCAACCACATGTTCACAAGCATCAGGCAGTTGATGAGGAGACGGTGTTTGGCAGTGGTGAATGCGCGGGGCGGCCATACACGATATTGAAGTGAGAAACTTCACATTTTTATTCTTGTGACTTGACATTCTGTATACCCATGTTTTGGAACGGCGGTGTAGCCTAATGGAACTGATTATGGCACTGTCAGTGTATCGAGTACATCACACAGATCCCAGGACTGAAATAATAACAATTTAACCATCTTACCATCTCTTGTTCTTTTATAGTGCCCTGAAGAAAGAATGTGAAGTTTCTTTTTTGACTCAGTATATATTGTTTATGTTTAGGATGTCTTTGAATATATTTAAGAGGTGTTAATAAGGTGTTATGCTGTGAAAATAGAGCTGTTATTTGGTTGTCGAGAAGATATTGTTCTGGATTCAATGACAGTGGCACGTGCCGCCGCGCCACCACCCTTGGACCATCTGTAAATAAGGATTTGTATGTTTTATATTTGATTTTTAATTGATTATATTCTTCTTTATTGTAATTCATTAGTTACAGATTTCTTAAACTTTGTCAGAGTTAGGTCAACTTCAGGCCTCACCAGTTGCCAAGGAGGAGAAGAAAGAAGACGGGAAAGAGATCTATTTTCCAGCTCAATGCCGGCAGCAGAAAGAAATGGTTTAATTCTTAAACGAAGAGGCGTAACAAGAGAAGGCTTTTTGTTGTACAAATCCTCATAAGGAGGATTGAAAACACAGTTAAATGCAGGATTAGACTCGTTAGAATAAAGTTTTGTTATATACTGTAAAGATAGTTTGATACGACGTTGGGTAAGGGATGGCTCATCAGCCTCAACATAGAGACTATCAATAGGAGAGGTTCTAAAGGACCCAAGACAAAGTCTTAGGCCTTGGTGGTGGACAGAATCAAGTAGTTTTAGGTTGCTTTTGCAGGCTCCACCATATCCGATCGAGCCATAATCAAGTTTCGAGCGGACCAATGATCGATATAGGTGGAGGAGGGTAGTTAATATGTGGCAAAAATGTTAAATGAGAGTCGAAAATAAGACCCAAGAACTTGGCCTCCTTGACAACTTTGATTGGAGTGCCATTTAAAGATAGTTCTGGGTCTTTATGCGGCTTATATTTTCTACAAAATCGTAGACAATTAGTTTTAGACTTGGAAACCTTAAAGCCGTTTTCAAGACACCATTTATTTATTTAATTTAAACACAACTGCAATTGCCGTTCAATAGTGTGCATATTTTTACCACGACAAGAAATATTAAAATCATCCACAAAAAGTGATCCATCAATTGAATCGTTTAAAACCTTGGATAAACTGTTGATCTTGATACTAAATAAAGTGACAGACAAAATACTGCCTTGAGGGACACCCTGATCCTGATTGTAATGATCAGACAGGGTTGAACCCACTCGGACTTGAAATTGTCTGTCTTTTAAAAACTGTGATATAAAAAGAGGCAAACGGCCTCTCAAACCGAAATCATGTAAATCCTTCAAAATGATCAATGGTACTACGATATTTCCTGAAACCACATTGAATATTTGTTATAAGGTTATTGGTTGCAAGTTAATCTATTATTCACCATCTGTTCCATGGTTTTACAGACACAGCTAGTTAGAGATATTGGTCTGTAATATGACGGATCTGTATGATCTTTGCCAGGTTTTGGTATTGGGACTACAATGGCATTACGCCACAAGGGAGGAAAATTTCCTGACGTCCATATTTTGTCAAATATATCTAAAAGTGTGGTAAGTGTTTCAGTCAATATTGTCATCACCTGCTGCAGTGTCATGAGCTTGCTCAAGAGCTGCATATAGTTCATGTAATGAAAACATTTCATTATAGTCTTCACCATTATTTGATTCCAAATTAACTTTTGTCTTTTCCTGTTGTTTCTGATATCTCTGATGAGTTTCGCCAATTTTATCTGCAATTTTAGATTTGTCAGTTATTAAATTATCTCCATCTTTAAGATGATGAACAGCAGATTTTGAACCTTTGCCTTTAATTCTTTGAATCATGTTCCATACTCTGGACATTGGCGTACGTGAATTAATTTTGGAGACATAGTTCCTCCAAAAATGTTTTTTGTTTTGTTTGAAGGTACGCATTGAGTATTAAATTTTATTTAAGTTATGGACAGTTTGGTGATGGCGGAAATAGTTCTCTGCCTTTTTCCACGCTTTTCTGGCTTGCCTACAATCTGTATTAAACCATGGTTTCCGTACATGTGGAGTTGTAGAGGTCTTTAGTATACATTCATCAGCTATTTCATTTAAAACGTCAGAATAAACCTCAGTAGGATCAGTTATATCACTGAAATATTCGGGTCTTAGTTTAGATGTGCATAAAGTTTGAAATACGGACCAGTCTGCCTTGGAAAATTTCCGTCTTGTATAAGATGTAGAATAAGATGGATAAATTTCTGAGAAGATAGTTGGAAAGTGGTCACTTCCACAGAGGTCATTGTGAACTGACCAGTCAAATTCATTGAGGAGGTTAGAGTCTGCAAGAGACAAATCTAGAGAAGAGTACGTTTTTCCTGGTTGTAAACCTTTTAACGAATGAAACTCCTTGGTCTTTCATCTCGGATACAATATCGAGCTCAGTCATGTCTGCAAATAGATGATCTCGATCTCTAACAATACCTTTGCTGGTGTTTAACGTTCTGTGAGCTGACACCACAAGAGGGACTCCAATGAACACATCAATTGATAGCAGGTTGGTTGCCTTGTTGTTTTCTGTTACATTTGATTAACAGCGATCCTGTACGCAAGCCTTTGATGTTTTTAACTTCTCCTGCTATTCCAGAGACATCTTTAGAAATTGCAAAAGGGTTTGGTTTTAATGGAGTCTTATCGAGAGTCTCGATAACCAAAAATCGTGGCCAATAATCAATAGATATGAAGGGTCGTTGCTGATCATCGTTTTCAAGTGGACGTTTGTTTTTTTTGTTAGGGGGTTGATAATCCATGGTTGTTATATTGGTTCGTCATCCACGCTCCCCACCCACCACGGAGTATCATATAGACAATGCTAAAAACAAGTGGATTTCCGACTTGCAGCACCAAGGATACTTTGATGATATACTCCAGCAGAAGAATTATAAATAATTACTCCACCAGATTGGCCCATGAGCCACCGCCTTCGGGGCATAAGGCTTTAGGCAATTTATAGAATGAAAGATCTAATTTGAATTTCGAAGGAAACATCATAAAGCCAAGACATTTGATAGAAACATTTAACAATATAATATATTTGTGCAGCACAATATACATGCACAGGGCTTGGCATGACCAACCGATTTGTAGAACCAGGCCCAATCTACCACCCGTCTAGGTGAAGTAAGGGCCGAAGTGGTGTGTTGGGCAAAAGGAACACTGTCCCGTCCTCCACCGACACAGGGGCGCAACCCACGGCAAACGGGTTGGTGGAGCAAATATACCCCCGTGTCAACAACGGGGGGTTGAAGAGCTCTTAGCGTTACCCACCACCCACCACGAGAGGTGGCTCTTCAAGGGTGCCACGTCACATAATAACAGAGATGGAACATCATGTGTTCTCTCGAGCCCAAAGCATCGAGATTCAACTGGAAGTGTATGTATATTCCCAAATGATGCCAAATGATGAGTCAAAGCTTTTGAATCTCGTTTGAAGATGGAGACTGGAAATGTATGTTGGGGTGTATACATGTTTCTGGGATATTGAGGAGGCAGCAATGGAGGATTGTTTTTTCCCTGCGCTCACTATTTGTAATACCATCTGCTCCTTGTTTTTTTAAAAGAAACAATTTGTATTTTACTGTCCATCACTATCAGTAGGTTATAGAAATGATCGGTCAAACATCCATCCATCCTCCCTGTCCTATTACATGTTTTTCCTTCCTATTTATGTGAACTGTCCTTATACAGATTTCTTTACGCATTAAAATGCCAGTGTAACATTTGTGGTTGTTGTAGGTACTCTGCTTCACCATGGACATCTGTGACTCGTCCGATGCCGATGACCAACGTTACATACAAGTGGGAAACAAAAATGAAACGACCGTGTACCAAAGGGAAGGAATAATTAAATGTCTTCAAATGGGACCCCAAAACACCATTGAACTGAACAGAATACATGAATTGCCTCAAGACACAGAAGTAAAAATGAGTGTCATGATCCGTAAAGCAAGTAAGTACCTCGTCTATGAACGTCTTTATTTCTTCGTTGACTCTTTTGGGGCGGTGGGGTAGCCTAGTGGTTAAAGCGTTGGCTCGTCACGCCGAGGACCCGGGTTCGATTCCCCACATGGGCACAATGTGTTAAGCCCATTTCTGGTGTCCCCCGCCGTGATATTGCTGGAATATTGCTAAAAGCGGCGTAAAACTCAACTCAGTCAGTCAGTCAGTCGTTGACTCTTTATTGACCAGAGTACATGTCCAGTCCTCTTTTTGTCCACCAAATAAATCCCTGTCTCAAAGATTAACCATGGTCCTTAAAAGTATCAAGGAAGGAATTCCTATATGCACAGTACTTATTTGAGACAAGCGGAATTAATACCATGTGGATTCTCCAAAGCTCAAAGCATCTGCTTACAAGTTTACAATCTCAGAAACGGACCGAATTCCATTCTGTCTACCACTATGCCACATGACAAACGTAAGGAAAATCTTCATTTCTTGCATGGGGCATTTGTAAACGAACGTGGTGAACACAGACATCCTTACATATCTTCAGAGGTTTAGGACAATTTGTTAAAAATTAAAGCAAATGTCATTTGAAGCCTACCGAGAAAACAATATGTGAATTGCTGGACTTTCTCATTGTTTCTTTGTGAAATGTGGGGGTAAAACATTTTGCCAAGAAGTAGGCATCACCTTGGCTACCAATTGTGCTCCCCTCCTTGTGGATCTATTGTTTTTTTGGTTTTGTTGTTGTTGTTGTTTTTGCATATTTAGATCTATGCATAAAGATTCAGAGTGACAAAAAACAAGGCTGTATGACAAAAGGGATGATTTCAACTTTCCAATAGTCAACTTCCCTTTCATGTCGGGCAATATTCAAACATCAAACATCAAACAATAACTGTCAAGGCGAAGGTCATCTGTTCTCATCGTCTTGTATGGCCATGGGATTGAAGTACTGCCTGGCATCGGCGCCCCATGGAACCAATCAGATTACGAAATGTTGCCAGGGGACTGTTCACCCAGTCCTCCTGCAGTGCTTGTGTCAACTGTTGGAGGTTCTGTGGCTGATGCTGATGTGATCGCTGAGATGATCAAGAGCATCCTATACATTTTAGATGGTGTTAAAGTCTTTAGACCTTGATTGCCATGACAGAAAAATCAGCAATATTTCGGTTGTGAAAAGTTACATGCACATTTCGTTTTAATGATGTAACTAGTCATGTAGGCTCTCGATTTGTTAGTTACATGGATCTGTTTTCATATATTTCAGTACCTGTATAGTCTTGTCAGCACAGTATTCAGACAGTGAATTTTATATTTCTTTCAGGCGTTGACACAGTGGAGATACACATAACCATCAGCGGAAATACTGCTGCCGAGGAACGCTTGACCGAAGTAGCCAACAGACGTGGAGTGTGGGATAATTTGCGACGGTTCTTCAGCACACTATATGCTGGACTGGAGCGGATATATCGGGGGAGTGTGGTGCTGAAACTCCAGGTGACAGACTCCAACTTCCTCCATTGTATCGAGAAGGCAGCCAAGGAAGGTCGACTGAATGAATTCATCCTGAATCTCCTTCAAGAAGAGGGCGTTTTCGACACAATTAAAGGTCAAAAGGTGGAGATAACCGTTGAAGTCAGGATCCCGGAAGACCAGTATGGTAGGTTTGGTCAGCTGTACGCAGGACAGTTCAATTTAGTAATTTGTATGTTTTGTCACTACCTAATTTAATAGTTTCATTTAACGTGACACTGCTTTCACATTTGAGCTGGCAGGGAAGTACATTGCAAAGACATCTGGAAGCTAATTCATTCTGATTGAGACCAAACCTAAATACTGGTTACATCAATATGCTTTCTTTTATTCAGAGGAGATGTCTAAAGAGATGAAAAGGTTGGTATGAAATGTTCTTAAAAACTTAAAACTTGTTTGTAGAATATGCTATTTTGGCATACATATCTTAAGTGTTCGTAAACGTGATTCCCAACACACTGAGTCTATCACTAGGAAACCATTTTAATTGCAGTAAAACCTGAGCGTGTGAACCACGTGTGAATTTACATACATTAACACCGAGACAAATTAAATGTCCATTAAAGGCCAATGCCACGGGGTTTCATCTGTCAGTTAGCTTGGTTAGCATAGGAACGGCTGAAACACCCTTTTTCATAATTACTACTACTACTACTACTACTACTACTACTACTACTTCTACTACTACTACTACTATTACTACTACTACTACTCCTACTGCTACTGCTAATTCCACTGCCACTGCCACTACTACTACTACTACTACTACTACTACTACTACTGCCACTGCCACTGCCACTGCTACTACTACTACTTCTACTACTACTACTACTACTACTACTGCTACTCCTCCTCACTACTACTACTAAAATGTTGAGCTCAATGGGCGTTTTCTTTGTGACTCTTAACTGTGTAGTAATATACTCCCATATGACGTACCAATTTAACTTAACCACTGGCTACTTATGTGATCATGTCTTGTTATGAAGAGATTGGAGACTTCATATCTAAATATCTGAACATAGTTTTTACATGATCTGAAAGGTGAAATATGTTTTCTATCCTCAGAAAGAAACAGTTCGCCTGTGAACTTGTGGAGGAGCTTTTGGACAGTTCACGCAACGAAGAGATCGTACAGCACCAGTCTGTTAAAGGGCTTAAAGACGTAGCTGAAGAGGTGGAAAAAATTGGGAAACTCCTGAACGGAGCTATGGTTGGAGGGGCTGCTCTTGGCACGGCTGCATTGATTGCCGCTCCCTTCACGTTTGGAGCATCCCTCGCCTTTGGAGCTGCTACTGCGGGCCTGGGTGCTGCTTCTGTAGTAGCGCTCATTGCTGCATTCTTGTTGTCAATTAAGAAAAGTCAAGTAAGACAAGGTGCACAAGAGAGCTTGGAGGCGTACATCAGAGCAGTGGAGTTACTGGAGAGAAATATTTCTATCCTGAAGAAGCAAGATGATGTCATGAAAGAATTGGTGGAAAGCGCAGTTGTGGAACGTCTGAAAGTCAAGCCAGTACAGATATCAGATATGATGATATCTCTCGGACAATCCGCAAAGTCCGCTTCAAAGATGGTTTTCAACATCAACGGGCAGGAAATCCCAATGGATAAAATGAATTTATACGAGTTCATTTCTGAAAATGTGCAAAATAAAAGGCGTCCCCCTTCAGTGGTGAAAGACGATATCTGGGACATGGCTCGACAAATAGAAAGAATGGACGTGGATCCCTTTCGCCGACTGTTACAAGTACAGTGAAGGACATTAGTGATGCTGACCAATATACAATATTCATCAATATACAGTAAATTGTAACATATGTCCGAATGAAGCTCCAAATCCGGTTTAAAGACAATACAGAAAAGTTATTTTTCAAGAAGATCAACAAGTAAACTGCAAACTATGGGATATGAGAGTATGTTTGTGACTGTACCTTGTATAACACGGGGCCGACATAGAGCAGAGGGTTTGGGATTCGACAAAAGAGATGATACTTTTTATTACCCTGCCAGCCACTTAACACTAAGTGGATTAAACACTTGTCGGAGTGAGTATGATGTGCCTTAGTGAGGCAGCCATGTTACGCTGGGGAATTATTAACCATGATAAACCATTTTTTGTTTGGACTAGTGCATTTCCCATTTCTAACTTATTGTACTTTCTTTTGGGATGTCATTCAAATTGTGATTTACTATATAGCGAAAAAAACAACCACTTAGTGGGTGCTCCGGCGGAACAAAGTAATGTTGGGGTAGAGTTAATAGTGTAGTGAAAAGAGATGCGTTTATGATGTTATTTGAAGTAAAGGGGCAGTTCATTCCACAGCGATAGAACACACACACTGAAAGAACCCTTTCCACAAGAGGCCCATCTATAAGAGTTTTCAATAAGAATTTGCTTTCAGATTGCAGTTGTCTGAATGATTTGTAGGAGGTTAAGAGTTCCAGTTGAGGTGGGCATAATGTTTAAAGTACTCTGCATCACATAATGGAGTCTAAATGGCATGACCCCACTCTTTAAAGCTTGATGTTGCTCAGCTGACATTGTTATTGCTGGTTTTATGTCCAATATCTCTTTAAAGCTTGATGTTGCTCAGCTGACATTGTTATTGCTGGTTTTATGTCCAATATCTCTTTAAAACTTGATGTTGCTCAGCCGACATTGTTATTGCTGGTTTTATGTCCAATATCTCTTTATAACATGATGTTACTCAGCTGACATTGTTATTGCTGGTTTTATGTCCAATATCTCTTTAAAACATGATGTTGCTCAGCTGACATTGTTATTGCTGGTTTTATGTCCAATATCTCTTTAAAACTTGATGTTGCTCAGCTGACATTGTTACTTCTGGTTTTATGTCCAATATCTCTTTAAAGCATGATGTTGCTGAGCTGACATTGTTATAGCTGGTTTTATGTCCAATATCTCTTTAAAACTTGATGTTGCTCACCTGACATTGTTATTGCTGGTTTTATGTCCAATATCTGTTTAAAGCTTGATGTTGCTCAGCTGACATTGTTATTGCTGGTTTTATGTCCAATATCTCTTTAAAACTTGATGTTGCTCAGCTGACATTGTTATTGCTGGTTTTATGTCCAATATCTCTTTAAAGCTTGATGTTGCTGAGCTGACATTGTTAATGCTGGTTTTATGTCCAATATCTCTTTGAAACTTGATGTTGCTCAGCTGACATTGTTATTGCTGGTTTTATGTCCAATATCTCTTTAAAACATGATGTTGCTCAGCTGACATTGTTATTGCTGGTTTTATGTCCAATATCTCTTTAAAACTTGATGTTGCTCAGCTGACATTGTTATGTCTGGTTTTATGTCCAATATCTCTTTAAAGCTTGATGTTGCTCAGTTGACATTGTTATTGCTGGTTTTATGTCCAATATCTCTTTAAAACTTGATGTTGCTGAGCTGACATTGTTATTGCTGGTTTTATGTCCAATATCTCTTTAAAACATGATGTTGCTCAGCTGACATTGTTATTGCTGGTTTTATGTCCAATATCTCTTTAAAGCTTGATGTTGCTGAGCTGACATTGTTAATGCTGGTTTTATGTCCAATATCTCTTTAAAGCTTCATGTTGCTCAGCCGACATTGTTATTGCTGGTTTTATGTCCAATATCTCTTTATAACTTGATGTTGCTCAGCCGACATTGTTATTGCTGGTTTTATGTCCAATATCTCTTTAAAACATGATGTTGCTCAGCCGACATTGTTATTGCTGGTTTTATGTCCAATATCTCTTTAAAGCTTCATGTTGCTCAGTTGACATTGTTATTGCTGGTTTTATGTCAATATCTCTTTAAAGCTTGATGTTACTGAGCTGACATTGTTATTTCTGGTTTTATGTCCAATATCTCTTTAAAGCTTGATGTTGCTCAGCCGACATTGTTATTGCTGGTTTTATGTCCAATATCTCTTTAAAACATGATGTTGCTCAGCCGACATTGTTATGTCTGGTTTTATGTCCAATATCTCTTTAAAGCTTGATGTTGCTCAGCTGACATTGTTAATGCTGGTTTTATGTCCAATATCTCTTTAAAACATGATGTTGCTCAGTTGACATTGTTATTGCTGGTTTTATGTCCAATATCTCTTTAAAACATGATGTTGCTCAGCTGACATTGTTATTGCTGGTTTTATGTCCAATATCTCTTTAAAACATGATGTTGCTCAGCTGACATTGTTATTGCTGGTTTTATGTCCAATATCTCTTTAAAGCTTGATGTTGCTCAGTTGACATTGTTATTGCTGGTTTTATGTCCAATATCTCTTTAAAACATGATGTTGCTCAGCCGACATTGTTATTGCTGGTTTTATGTCCAATATCTCTTTAAAGCTTGATGTTGCTGAGCTGACATTGTTATTTCTGGTTTTATGTCCAATATCTCTTTAAAACATGATGTTGCTCAGTTGACATTGTTATTGCTGGTTTTATGTCCAATATCTCTTTAAAGCTTGATGTTGCTCAGCTGACATTGTTATTGCTGGTTTTATGTCCAATATCTCTTTAAAGCTTGATGTTGCTCAGTTGACATTGTTATTGCTGGTTTTATGTCCAATATCTCTTTAAAACTTGATGTTGCTGAGCTGACATTGTTATTGCTGGTTTTATGTCCAATATCTCTTTAAAACATGATGTTGCTCAGCTGACATTGTTATTGCTGGTTTTATGTCCAATATCTCTTTAAAGCTTGATGTTGCTGAGCTGACATTGTTAATGCTGGTTTTATGTCCAATATCTCTTTAAAGCTTCATGTTGCTCAGCCGACATTGTTATTGCTGGTTTTATGTCCAATATCTCCTTATAACTTGATGTTGCTCAGCCGACATTGTTATTGCTGGTTTTATGTCCAATATCTCTTTAAAACATGATGTTGCTCAGCCGACATTGTTATTGCTGGTTTTATGTCCAATATCTCTTTAAAGCTTCATGTTGCTCAGTTGACATTGTTATTGCTGGTTTTATGTCCAATATCTCTTTAAAGCTTGATGTTACTGAGCTGACATTGTTATTTCTGGTTTTATGTCCAATATCTCTTTAAAGCTTGATGTTGCTCAGCCGACATTGTTATTGCTGGTTTTATGTCCAATATCTCTTTAAAACATGATGTTGCTCAGCCGACATTGTTATGTCTGGTTTTATGTCCAATATCTCTTTAAAGCTTGATGTTGCTCAGCTGACATTGTTAATGCTGGTTTTATGTCCAATATCTCTTTAAAACATGATGTTGCTCAGTTGACATTGTTATTGCTGGTTTTATGTCCAATATCTCTTTAAAACATGATGTTGCTCAGCTGACATTGTTATTGCTGGTTTTATGTCCAATATCTCTTTAAAACATGATGTTGCTCAGCTGACATTGTTATTGCTGGTTTTATGTCCAATATCTCTTTAAAGCTTGATGTTGCTCAGTTGACATTGTTATTGCTGGTTTTATGTCCAATATCTCTTTAAAACATGATGTTGCTCAGCCGACATTGTTATTGCTGGTTTTATGTCCAATATCTCTTTAAAGCTTGATGTTGCTGAGCTGACATTGTTATTTCTGGTTTTATGTCCAATATCTCTTTAAAACATGATGTTGCTCAGTTGACATTGTTATTGCTGGTTTTATGTCCAATATCTCTTTAAAGCTTGATGTTGCTCAACTGACATTGTTATTGCTGGTTTTATGTCCAATATCTCTTTAAAACATGATGTTGCTCAGCCGACATTGTTATTGCTGGTTTTATGTCCAATATCTCTTTAAAACATGTGGTTGAAATGTTTTGTCATACATACGACAGTCTTATGCTGTGTTCACGTGTCACAGCATTTGATGTTAACAAATTCCCTCTTTTATTATTGTAAATCGATTCTTATTTTCATCGATTCAATTCATATGGTCACGGTGTTATATGTAGTTGTCTCGGTCTGATTCTTTTAATATCCATTCGTGTAGTTTGGGCACATTTTATTGTGGTTTCTGAGACGTTAGGTTATAAGTACATGATCAGAAATCATTAGACGGTATATGAGAAGTAAGTTAAGAGGAAACGATATTGTTTGCTCTATGTATAAACCGTTCAATGGTAATTAGACTTGACAGCCTCCAGATTGGCTAAAATAACACTCACAGTTATCAGGTAAAGATAATTTTCAGTTGGTTCAGTTTCCATGTCATGATTTTTTTTAGAACCAGGTGACTGTGCTTTGGACTATGTAAAGTGTTGTTTAGGTATTTAACTGGGCTATATGTAGGCTATTGGCTATCTAAAGATAGTATCTGTCATATTTCTACAACTTATGAAATGTGTCAGAACAGTTAGAAGGTGTACAAAACCAACACATTTTGTCACCATTGTGCCAGGTCATTCAGTCCGTATCACAGGTTGACTTCTAGTTTGATCACTCATGGGATTTTTATTGCTTTATTGTTTGACAATAGATTAAATTATGTATGTTTGGATCAACACTTTGTAGTCTAAAGATAGATTATTTGCCGTTTTACGTGTTTAATGTAACTAACTTTTTACCGGGTTTTTTTCTTGGTTTGACTTAATATGATTTGATTTGACTACCCAGTCATGCTATTGGTGGTATTTGTTTCTCTTTTAACACAGTCTGTGGCTTCTATTTAAGGATACTCAAGCACTAATGTACTTACATATTTTGTAAACTGTTCGATTTGTTTTTCTAATGAGCACCCACGGCTGCACTGTATCCATTTAGTGTAATACAAACCGTTAATAGAAACGTGAATAAATAGTGATGAAAAACATATTTTTTGAACATTTTCTTATCTTTTTGCCAATAATGGTATGCGGCTTCTGTTGAATATTTGTATTGATAAATTGTAAGTTCTCCACCGCCACACTCTAGCACTTTCCACATAATCCAGTGGTTGCTTCTGTGAGCAACGACCCACGTTGTCAAGGAGCTATCTGAACGTCACCG